GTAGTGTTTCTATCAAGTCTAGACCTAGCAAATCTAGTCCTGGATTCTGTGTAAGATATAAAGTTGCATTCGTTTTCGCGTTTCCTTTCGAAACTGTGAGCTAACTGGGTTGTTGTGAGCACCTGTGATTTACCGATAAGACTCAGAGTTCTCCGACTAATAAGTGTGATGTCAGAAGCGGCGTCGAGTTGCAGGCGGGCACGCTTTTTATTTATATCCAAGTTTACATAATTTCGTTGGCGGCAAATTCGTGCTCGATTATGTAATACCAATATTTTGTTAGTTCGAGCACTAAATCTGTATTTCTTCGAGTAGGGTTTCAAAGAATATCGCTTATGGGTCCTTTTTCTGCAGCAGTTTTCTTTATGTCCCTTGCGATGACACTTGCTACAACAATGTTCTTTATATGGGCAGAACCTTTTATAATGCCAACCACCACAAGACCAACATGGAGATGAAGGCTGATTATCTGTGTGCGATACCTTTCTTGAGCAAGAATCGTTCTTTCCGCTTACAGCACAAACGTATGACAACTGGCCATTATTTTCGACCATCGAAGTGTCATGCTTTAGGTTTACCAATCTCTGTCACTCTGCAGTTACTTCTTGTAGTGTCATATTCGGGCATTGTTCAATTTTACTCAAAATTCTAGTTCTAATATCGGCATCTTCGGAAGATTGGAGGCTGCACACAAATACGAGACACTTAAACTGGTCTTCTGTCATTGCTGATAGTTTGAAGCTCTCACATTCACGGTTTACTGAACGCGCATGCTTCACCCAGTCATCATCACCTGCTTTTGTTATCTTGAGACATTGATAACGAATATTAAACAAGGATGACTGTTCAGCAAAGATTTGCGACAAAATTTCAATCGTTGCATCGAAAGAAAAATCTCTTGGATTCTTTGGAAGGATAAAGTTACTGTAACGTTCATGTTCAACAGTTCCAATTTTTCGCATGAGTATTCTGACCTTAGCGGCGTCATCAAGTTTTTTGAGGTCGACCTTGAACAAATCTTCATATTTCTTGAACCAAGTTTCAAAAGTAATGCCGGCTGAACCATCAAAATTAAATTCATGGATAGAATTAACGATCTGGTCAACATGAGATTTGAAGGGGTCATCTGTAACTTCTTTTTGATACAGGTTCAGTTTCTGAGTTAGCATCTCTATCATGCGCATCTGGAACCGTTCAAAACGTTTTTCTTGGCGTTCCAATAAAGCTTCAAATTGTTCAAAGGGGAATGACAAATTGTACAATAACCTGTCGCCAGATGTTATATCTTGAAAAAGCTGAATTATCGATATACCGCGGATAACTGAGCACTAGAACATCAAAACCCTTCCAAGTCGCAATAAGAAGACAGAAGACTAATGAAAGGAATATTATTCCAAACAGTGTCCGTCATAGTACAAAATTGTCAGGTATTTATAGTTTTTAGTGAGAACGAAATCATCATTACAGTCTTCCAATCCACATACAGGGGGTTATTAGCATTATCCAATCGGGACGTTACACGTTGGAATTCTAGAACATTCTTCCGAAAGGTGGTTGGATGGGACGTCTTCGGTTCCTTCTGAGCCTCTTACAGCTTCCTCGAGTTCACCGGTGGTCCGTCGTCACATAGTGGATACGTGATAGCGTGGAGTTGGTGTGTTGTTTTTGAACAGCAATCAAGTTTCGAATCTAAAGATACAAGTCCTGGATTTTATAGGTGGTACTCATTAATGATAGCTTTTTGATTGCACCTCCATAAAGCTAGGTCGCATTGCTTTGTGTTATGGTCATTTTTCCTCCGAGTGAATCGTTGCCACTGGATAAGTGATAGATGCGGTTCAAAAAATTGCCCCCAACGTGTTGATCTGAGGAAAAGAAGTATTACGTTAGTCATGTTATCTTTCCCTCGGCTGTCGTGTCTCATTATGGACGCAATAAGTGTTAAGTTAAGCCTGGCGTACAAAGTCTTAGCCAAGTTGTAGGAAATAACATTTGTACATTTAAATAAGGTAAATACTCAAGGAAGATGATGATGTTTGGTCTGGATCGATTAATGTGACGAGCTTGCAAAAGATAGGTATCATATTAGGATTATCATTTCAAAATCCTGGATTTTGTCACTTTCAATGACATTTAAGTTCAACCTCGTAGTTTTTGAGGCCGAAGACGTTATAGAGAGCACATACTCCTGAAAGTATAAACTCGAATTTCAAGCTTCATAAGTGTAATTCGCTAATAGTATAGGAGGAGAAAATAAATACAAGAAATATTTTCGGAGACTGAAACGGTGTCACTTAGAGCTATAGAAGTACGAAAGTTATAAGCAGCATTGGTCGAATGGACGTGAATACTTCATGTTGGTTTTGTTCCTCGAGGTATGACCTCTGAGAAAAAACTCCGTAAGCCATAGAAAACCCTCGGAACAGTAAGAACGCCCGCATTATTTTAAATGCACATATATGATAGATCAAACTATGTTTTAAAAAAATCTGTCAACCATTGGAAGGAAACATAAATTCACTTGAGGTTTTGAGGGACTATTGTGCCTATGACTGATTTAAAAATTGGCAATATACTATAAGCCGGGTTACGCGCGTTTTAGGCACAGACCATTGGTTGTTAGGAAGAAATTCAGGACATCTGGTTCTTCCTATTTAGGACTTGTGCAGATGTACCTCCATCTTGATGTTAATGCTCACTCAAAGACATCAGCCAACTATCTTTTTAAATGCCAGTGGGTTATCGACTTGGTTAGTGAGTCTAGATTAAACTGGTCTATGCAACGGAATGCAGTGTTCAGACAGGATCAGACGGAAATGTGTCTGTTTCCGCCTATAATATCAAACTTCAATATTTTCCACCATGAATCAACTACGAATGTAGTCTTATTAAGCGTAAAGCTACTCATTATTCACAAAAAGAATGCAGCATGAAAGAATTTCAGAAAAGACATTATTTTTTCGAATGTCAACCTAATGTGTGTGGTATACCGAGCTAACTGAGCATGAGTGTGAATAATTGTCAGCTATTTGAAATTGTAGAGGTGAATAAACCCCCAAAAATCAATAGCTCTGTAAGTCTTCGACGTTTGATGCTGATCATATTAGTTTCAATGGACTCACCTTGCTGAAGGAGCTTGGTCATACATTGTCACCAGATGACGACTGAGAACGTTGTGCTCAACTTTACCTGCAACCGCTAGCCAGTCACTCCTCAATATTTTGATAAACTCTAAAATATATCTTCGAATCCACTCGCTTCTGACTTGATTTCACTGGGTGGGCACGATTCAATTATAGAATGTGTTACTGGCTCATTTATTGTCGAATTAAGAATACTCGTGGCATCTTCAAAATACAACATTACTCCCTCAATGCAAATGCTTAACCCGTCTAACGAAACAAATGAATTATCCTGACAATGGATTTACAATAATTTTGCTCCAAACTTCATTCACTATTGAGACGTATGGATTTTTTGTCTGAAAACGATGTGTTGAATCGGCCAAAACCGTTGAAAGATTAAATATCAGTCTTCGAGACTTTGTAGGCACAATTTGAAAGGATTGTTTGAAGCGATTATACTTATTTAATCGAAAGAGAAATATACTGTCACAGTTGACTCATATTTACATAACTTGCCACGAAATTATATTGTGTGTATAGAATTCAGTAAATACAATGTACGTTCAGATATTCCGGGTTATTTATTTATCTGATAATAAAATATTATAGATGCAAACCAACGTTTTAAAGATAGGATAATTTCGTCCATTACGTGGGTAGGATGTCACTGACAATAGGATGTATGATATTTGTTCCGCCTGCACATGATCAGAGAGGAACATTCACACAGCATGTCCTCTAAAGATAAATATTGATAATGTATTGGTTGAATTCATGAGTCAATTAAAGCTAGAATACATTGAAAAACCCGATAGCACTGGACGACCGTTTCGTCCTAGTATAGGACTCCTCAGTAAGGCGCATCCACGATCCCGCCCCTCGAGATTCGAACGTCGGACCTATCGGCTTGGTGCGCGAACGCTTAACTCCTGGACGACTTAACCGGCATCCAACAGTGTTAATTCAACAAATCCATAAATATTGGAAATCTCAAAGAATCGAATAATTTCGAAGTGATGAATATAAAGAGCCTGCAGAAGAATCAGATAATTGAGATATATATTCTGCATCCTTCTGAAAAAGGAATCATAAATTTTATATGGTTTATGCAATGATTTTAATGACTAAAAATTCTAACTCAAACATCCTAGACGGTTAACAAGCCGTCAGATGCTAGCACTTTTAGACTTACCACTCCATAATAAAATATTCTGAAGTCCTATGTTTTACTTTTTCTAGTGGAATAGTGGTGCGAACAGAAAAACAAAGAAGTCATGACGATAAACGTAAAAATAACATTTATTATTGCCCGTAATTTATTCTACACACAACAAACTTCCGTTTTATAAAATATACACTGCCATACTTTTTTCTTTTCCGAAGCAATTATAATTTAAACGTGATCTTTGTATTCTATTTTTCTAACCTAATGAAAATTTTTAGTAAATTTGTATCTTTATGATTGTTTTTACGTTCTAGTCATGTTACTCATCCACTTATCCTCCTTTTTGACGCTAGTCGTAATCGATATCAAGCAGCTTTAGCCCCAATGTCTAACCAGTTTACCGTCGTATCAAGGCCATAACCTAGATTGAGACAAGTTCCGTCTTCTATATTATTGGGTAGGAAACTGAATTAAACACTTTCTTTGGATATGCTGACTGTGAAGAAACGAAGTATCCCGATTTTGATATGAAATACTTTGGTGAAATAAATCCGGTTAAAAAGGCTCACACATTCAGTTGCTATACACTATATGATTGTGCATTTTTGATCATATGTTACCTTGCTAAATGAATCATGTTCTTCCTAATTGATTTGTTTACAACTGACATATGCTGAGATTGTGGGTTGTGAGCTATCGACCTTCAAAACGCACGAATCATCAACAATTCAATGAACAGGTACATACACTTTCCCCGTTACTTATACGTTATTGTTTTGTGCATTAACAGAAGTGTGGAACATTGACTATAGTTTTTTGGTGGAAGGGTCATCAAAACTTCAAAAGTCATTGAAATATAAATAAAGTTAGATGAAATATATATTTACATAACATCTTTATCAAACTCTAGCTGATAAAATCGCTCGTTCGTCTATGTATATCAGCCTATCGCCTAGAAATGCTTGAATAAACTGTATTATGACTTCTTCCGAAAATTGTTTGTGTTGGGAGATATAATATTTACATTTCTTCAATTCTGTCATAACCTTAGACGAAGTACAATATTTTCAGCGCCATAAACAACTAATCAACTATACGGAGTGTTTACTGTCATTTAGGATGGCTGATGTGCTAGATTTACATGGCGAGAATGACTTCGAAGAAGACGCAGATGGTGATCGTAAGTGAACTTTTTCGGCGTTTTTAAAAGTTTAATAGTCGTCATAAGTGACTGATTTGAAGGATTATAGTAACGTCAACCTGAATGTACATGTAGCTTTTACAGTTCATATTTATATACCTTCGGAATGTGCTTTTCTAGTGTATTACATAGGATTTTGAGATTCACAATTAGTCTCCTAATTTTTCTTATGGTGTAGACATCGTATTGAAAATATTTAGTTAACGCAACAACCTTATATTGTTGTTATATTATTGAAGAGTGGTTTCTGGTATCCAGTCGGATAAAGTTCAGTTATTGTAACATATTCTTGCTGACCTTGTTAGTTCGGCATGGATAGAATTCGTCGGAAAAACGTTAGGTACAGTTTTAGACTTGGAATCAATCTGTTAAACAATCGATTATTTAATTAATTCTTGTTGATCGATATATGTTACAGGTTATTATCGTAATCTTGTTGATTATTCGTCGATATTTGAAATTCAATAACTTTAGGTGGGGTCCACATTTTCTTACGACTTTAATAAAGCTGAAATATTGGGTTTTCACTTCTGCGATACATGTAATTGTGAAAACCTTATTTGAACTTAGTCTAGATACTCAGTGTGTGAGAATTAGGAATGGAGTGCGTTATAGTCCTATTTACTTTCGTCTGTCTCACATCCTAGAATATTATTTATCAAGTTTTGTTGTGTGAACCTTATGTGTAGGTTTGAGTACTGTCCCCTTGTTGCATCCTCATCGATACTTCTCACGTTTCATTTAAATATGTTAAGTTACGGATCAAAGTTTTACTGATGATATTGAGGGAGAATCATGAGTGAATTAAAGAGAATTTCATAAAAAGAATTGAAATATTTTTCTTGAACCTCAAATCTGCTATGAACAAGAATACGTTTGAGGTCCAATAATTCGACTACACGTTCCATGTTTTAAATTTGAAGTATCGTTGTTTAATATTAGGCGTTTATCGAGTATTTTTTTGACTGAACTAACTAACGCATTGGAAAGAAGGTACAAGTTTATTTTGTTGCTGACTTTTACATATTCACAAAGCGTCAACTCTTATTTTTATTCTCCGGTAATAAAATTTTTATGTAGTAATTTAACTAAGTACAGTTTGTTTAGGTGACACTCATGAAATATATTCTTTACAAGTTATCGTATAATGGTTAATGTTAAGGTGTATCCAATTAGTCAACTCATTCCGGTAAAAGTTTATTTACGTGAATGGTCATTGAAAGTACCACCCTACACAAAAATAACCTCAATAAATGAATTATCGTTAATGTAAAACTCAAATGGACGTTGGGAGTGGTTTTAAAAATCCGTGTGTCAGTTATTCAAACGCAAAGTAGAACCTGATACGCTTGTTTTATTTATTTATTTTAACACGTAGATATTGGTACAAGGAGGCACCAAATACATATGCGCCACACAAATCTCATTCGATGTGTGAGGGCTGTGATACTGCCCGGTAGCCCAAACCGAAGCACGTGGCTTTCTTAGGGGGCCACACTCCCGTTAAAGTTTCCGGTGTGGGCAACCGGGAAGTTATAACCGCCCTCACACCTCTAACAGCACTCACGATCACTCTATTCATAATCAATCTCCCTCTTCAATTCCTATTATTCCTCCTACCTAAACTTTCTCATTTGACTTCCTCATCAAGTGTCACTATGGCTGAAGATTCTAGCTTTTCAGATTGACAAAAAAACGGGAGTTAAAAAGTCAAGTGTAAGTGAGATGATCTTGGAAGAAGATAACACTAATGTGCTTTCAACCCAGACGTTAAAAATAATGGGCTGAACACTTTAGGGAGTAATTCAACCGGCTTTCAGCTACTCTACAACTACCCACCATTCCCAAACAGCGTGAATGGGACATTGAAGTAGGCACCCCAACTCTAATTAAAGTTCAGAAAGCTATAACTAATCTGAAACGACGAAGAGCAGCTGGTCCAAATGGATTAGCTTCAGAAGTTTTTAAGCATTGTGGTCCGGTTCTAGTGATTAAGTTTACCAGTATTCTAGCTAAACTCTGAGAGTTGGACGTAATCCAATCTGACTGGTAGCAATCATTAATTGTCCCAATATATAAGAAGAGGTCAAAGTCATCCTATGATAACTATAGAGCGATTAGTTTAACTAATATAGCATCTAAAATACTAGCCTCAGTAACTATCGCACGTTTAACAAGGACACGTGAACTGCAAACACGAGAAAACCAAGCTGGTTCATACCCGGTCGTGGCTGCGTCGACCACATATTCGCCATTCGTTAGATTTTAGAACACAGGCATGCTTATGGGTGTCCGACAATGATGGCTTTGTTTGACTTAAAAGCAATTAAGGGACAAGTATACTGCGCGGCAGTCCGTTCTGTTCTAATTTGCGGCTGCGAAACGTGGCCGTTAAGAGTAGAAGGTACCCGTAAGTTACTAGTATTTGATCACAGATGCCTTAGAAATATTGCTGGCATCTGCTGGGATCACCAGGTAAGTAATAGTGAGGTTAGACGCAGGGTATTAGGGAGTAAATCAGTTGGTGAGGTTGTAAATCTTCATCGACTGAAATGGTTGGGCCACGTGTTGCGTATTCCTGAACACCGATTACCACGACGCGCAATGCTGACTAGTGTTAAGGATGGTTGGAAGGAAGTTAGGGGCGGTCAAACCAAAACGTGGCATTATTCATCTTTCTTCCTTTACTATATCCTTATACACAATCTTTCTTTTACATATGACTTCTATTGAACACCTTCGTAAATATTAAACCGCATTTATGTATCTATTTGTGACAGTTCTTCAATCTCAGTCGCAACAGGTTTGTTGAGACTTTCAAGATAACAGTCATGTCCGAGTCTTTAACTTCCATATAACCTTAAATTATAGTTTCCGAGGCCCATAGTATCAAAAATACCGTCTCGTGGCATTGAAAAACTAGTGTTCACTTTGAAACAATACAAAATAAACAATTTTTTATTTCTAGTTAAGATATTCTTGTTGCATATGTAGCATTATTATTTGCAATCATCCAGTCTTAAGTGCCTAGATTTATCTGACTCAATGTGTTTATTTCAGATGGTTTAATGAAATTGAAGGAAAGTGCAAAAAAAAGAAAAGGCAGAGGATTCGGAGCTGGTATGAATTTTAATGCTTCTAAGCCCTGTAGACTCAGTCGGAACGACAAAAGAAGGATATGAATCTCTAGTAGTGGATGACGGATCGTCAAAATCAGGACCTCAAAGATGTAAGTTGTTACGATAAATATATATGTATATTGTTTACCAGCCGTAGAAGGTTGGATATTGTTTGTAAGGAATGTACAGGAAGAAGCTACGGAAGAAGATATTCGAGATAAATTCTGTGAATATGGCGATATAAAAAATATACACCTTAACCTTGACCGGCGAACTGGTTATTTAAAAGTACGTTCAGCCATCTTATTTACTAATAAATTGCAGGGATATGCATTAGTAGAATATGAAAATTTCAAGGAAGCTTTTACTGCTATGGAACATCTAAATGGTTCTGAGCTAAATGGTCAAAGAATCCATGTGGATTGGGCGTTTACAAAAGGTCCAAATCCAGTCAAAATGTCAACCAAACACAGAACACGTGAACGTAGTCGAAGTCGATCAGTTGACCGTGCTCGGCGATAATTGTACACTCATGCTCTAGATAAAATGTTTTTTTACATATCTTAAATACCTTTTTATCAAACAATCAGCGTCGGCTTGATCTCTTTCGTTGCATTATTAGTTGTTTTAAGCTACACCTATTCGAGTAAAAAACGTTTGTATTCCTTAACTGCTTCACCATTTAAATCATGTATCATTAACCGACTGATCGTGCAGTGTGTTTCGTTTTGAGGTTAATGTATGTAGTAAGCAATATATTTTGTTGGAAAGCATCAGGTACTTGGGTAAGATAACAATCTAAGTGTGAAAACTAGTGATACTACTAGGCTGTCAAAACTGCAGTAGATGGAGCAAGGTTTTAACCTAGGATACATTAGTAACAGGTATACAAATCGTCATTATTTATGATCGGTTTAAATGAGAAAAACTTGATATCTTTAAGGTAATGCGACTCTATAAAATTGCAGTCTCATGAAAGATTTTTGAGTGGTTTCATCATAGGTAGGTAGATTGATGTATAGATATATATCTGACATCTACTGTGAATAAGTTTTCATCCCACAGACTATGCCTGATGCATTAGTACCCGGTTGTCGGAATAAGCTCGACGAAATATAATCTTCAAAAGTTTGCCAATTACCCATTCATAACTTGGTGACTAGGTATTTAAATTGATACTGAGTTTAGGCTTATCTTATTTACATTAAAAAGCAATACCTATTTGTCCCATCACCAGAAATCTGTCGCAAATAGGAAATATGCAAGATAAAATAAAAGGTACATAGTCCTGTGCTATTTATGTCATCTTGTTATTCGAAAAAAACTCAGTACAAGCATTCCTTCAGATGCTTTGGTTCATCAACCTTAACATCCATTTTTAATTCGCTTAGTATTGCAGTGGACGGCGATACACAAAACATGATTTAACTTTGAGATCGAATAATTATTACGTACTTAAACATTCCAACCGGTGCTTCTATGACACCTTTGATCGACAAACTCATTGGCTTCAAAGAACTTAATGTTACTCAGTATTGTAATTTAGTTTTAGACCGTCTTAGATTCAGCGTTACTTGTTGATCTTCTGTGGTCTACATAAGTATGGGAGCGAATTCGTCATATCAAGGATGGGTAGACTTCATGTGTACTTATCTCAACTTACAATTCACTAACTCCCAGGAATTCGTTACAATAAACAGATAAGAATAGACATTTTGTTTAACAAAGGCACTTATGGTGTTATTAAAAATTCATTGGTCGACTAGAGATATTGCGTTATTACTGCCATTTTGATTAAAGACCAAGGTATACAGTTTGTGTTTATTACACAAAAACCACCAATGTTGTGTATGATAACATTGTTACAACTTTAAATGACTAGATACTGAGTGGTTTGACGTATCTAGTAATTTTTTCAGCTTGAGAAGCAAAGCTGAAAGTGACCTCCCAAGACTCATGTGCTTCGTTGTCCGTGACAGAATATCACTGGTGATTTCGTCGCAAGAAAAACCCAGTCTAATTTTTCCTATCTCTTTTACGAATTGGGATATTTTATATTTATTTACAATACAATAAAAATCCGGGAGAATATTTTTAGAATGATTTAGTGATGTACAGAACAAATATGACCGATATTATATAATGCTCAGATCCCAACAAAAAGTCTGTTTGAATTCTAGCTTATTCCACTCACCGTTCTAAGTAACGAAGAGATTATGCAGACATTACATTAGCAATGCTATCTTTTTCTGAATAAATATTTTCTTTACTACTGTATAACTAAAAAAGTGTAGCAACTTAGTCATGTTTTACACATTGTTTCTATCGCGTAGATAATTGTTTTGTTGTTACATTTCACATAACACTTGATGAAACGATACTCTAAACTACGTTTCGCGAAATTAGCATGAAATACATTTACCACATATTTTCAACATTTATGACGACTGAAATGATAGAATTAGGCAGATGATTAGCAAATTAACTGTATAAGTTTATTTCAAATGATAGCGTGATAAGTAAATCATTTTACAGGATAGAATCATAAAATGAAGTAATTGCACAATTTCAAGAAATTTAATCCAATCAACATGAGTAATATACGTATATCAAGGTGTATTTACAATTTTATGTTATCAAGAATAATCAAATGATTCAACTGTTTGAAAAATGCACCATGAAATCTTTGGTAATTAGTGTTGTACTTCTGTTCTAGTCTTCGATTCAAGTAAATTAACACATCTTTTTTTGGCATCATATAATTTATGTGTATAAATATATTCCAAAGTACGATCTGGAACGAGGTAACGTACACTTTTACCATTTGATAAAGCATGACGTACGAAAGTAGAGCTTAGTGAATTCTGACAATTGTCTATCACTAAACTTATATTATCCTAAGTGAAATATTGGAAAAATCAGATATACATTGGAAAATAACTAAACAAATATTGCATCTATCAGTAATAATGATTTCTGTGCATGAGTAAACTACCTTAATAAATCTATGCTTGATTATTAACGTACTTATCAACATGAAGTCTTCCTAAACTCTCACTGTTTTAAAGTTCTTTAAATGATTGGAAATCGTTTACTTTATGAAATATGCCTTGTGGGGTATCTGTAATTGACAGTTTAAGAGCATTTTGTAAATTATAAATTGGTACTTACTGTAAGTTCACTTACGCTGATAATAAATGACTAGCTAAATGCATTACATTTTACCTTTTCATTAATACACATATACGACAATCTAAAGTTTAAATATGAATATACTCACCTAATTACGCCTGTTACACCTCATGGAGGAGCACAGACCACTCACTAGCATTCTCCATCCAACTCTGTCTTGGGCAGTTCTTTCCAGTTGCTATTCATTCTTTTCATATCTGCTTCCGATTTCCGACGCAGTGTATTGTTCGGCCTTCCGTTTTTTCGTTTCCCTTCAGGATCCCAAGTTAGTGCTCGCCTTGTGATGAAGTTTGATTATTTCCTCAACGTGTTCTATCCACTTCCAACGCCATTTCCTAATTTCCTATTCAGATGGAGCCTGGTTTGTTCGCTCCTACAGTAGGATGTTGCTCATGGTATTCGACCAACGAACATTAAGTATATTGCGCAGACAGCTGTGTATAAATACTTGTATCTTTTCGATAATAGCTGTAGTAGTTCTCTTAGTTTCAGCTCCGTACAGTAGAACTGTCTTTTTGTTCGCAATGAAGATTTTGACTTTGATGTTGGTTAACAGTTGCGTTGAGTTTCATACGCTCGTCAACTGTAGGAATGTTGTTCTTGCGTTGCCAATCATCGCCTTTACATCTGCATTGGATCGTTCTTGTTTACCAATGATGCTGACCAGGTACGTGAATGTTTCCATATCTTCCAGAACTTCTCCATCAAGTGTGATTGAGTTGGTGTTCTCTGTGTTGAATTTCAGAATCTTTACTTTGTGTATGTTGAGGCCTGCTGATGCAGAGATTGCTGCTACGCTAGTTGCCTTCACCTGCATTTGTTTGTGTGTACGGGATAGAAGTATCAGGTCAACTAACAAGTCCAAATCGTCTACTTGTATCCAAGCTGTTCATTGTATTCCGTGCTTCCCTTCAGATGAGGAGGCCTTCATAATCCAGTCAATCAGCAGTAAAACCATGATCAAATCACTTTGGGTGGTTTATTTATTTGGACACAGATATTGATACAAGGGGGGGGGCAGATAAATATGCGCCACACAAATCTCATTTGATTTGTGTTGGGGCTGTGATACTGCCCGGGTGCCCAAACCGAAGCAGGTGGTTTTCTTAGGGGACCACACCCGGAGCCTTCGACCTGAAGGTCTAATCCCCACGGCAGTGGAGCATCCTAGGGAGTTGCGGTCTCATGGTAGCCGGTGACCAACGATTGGTTCATACGCCATTTGTTCCCGCAGGATACTGGAGCCAGCCCATGTGCACCATTGATTTGTGATCCGGTTAAAGCGCCGGACATTCGCTTTTCATCCTCTCATTTTCGTAAACAACACCGCCATTTGTTCCCTCAGGATACTGGAGCTCATGTGCAACATTGGTGTTGTCCATTTCGGCTATGGCGTTTAGGTCTCCCATCCGGATGGCGAGATCCTTTCTTGGGCACTTCACTGTGATTGATTGCAGCATCTTGTAGAAATGATCGTTATCGTCGTCATTGCTATCACTTGTGGGTGCATAACGTTGGATAGCATTCATTGTAATCCCCTCATTTTTTGTGAAGGATGCTTTAATGATCCTGGGTCAATGAGCTTCCCATCCTATAAGCGCATCACGTGCTTCTTTGGACAGCATCAGAGCAACTCACTGAGTGTGTAGAGCATTCTCCCTTCGCGGGTAACGTTTGCTGTCCAGCTTGGGTCCTCTGGGTTTCGCTAATTCCGAGAACCGCCAACTTGTACTTCCATAACTATTTGATTGGTCCTCCAGGTCTCCCACATTGTCCGGACGTTCGAGGTACCTATATTAATTGTTGCTATGGTTATTAGAAGGGGTACCGATCTCGTGACTTCCGAAGAATCTCAGCTTCCATCATGAGGCGTCGTAATTTTTCCTTCATCTAGGAGGGCACAGTTTAGATGGTTCACTTTGTTTAATCTGGTTGGCGTTACTTTAGCAACATTTTTCTTCTACAGGATGAGGTTGCCGACCCCATGTCCAACCCTCCTCCTTTACCCGGGCTTGGGACCGGCAGTAGCCTCACAAGAGCTACAGGCGGAGTTAAATTTGAGTATACTAATCTTGAAATAATCGGACTTGATTTAAACGGACGATAAAGCATGACATATTCTATGTTTCGCGAATGATTGCTATCGAGAAGCACGCATTTGGCATCGGGAAGTATTTCGCATTGTGACTGTGACGGTTTTTTCATAAGTACATCAGGTTAAAAAAAGAAGTCCAATGTAGATCGGCATAAGGTGTCTAACATATTTCAGACGATAAATGTTATCAGTTACCAAACATATCCAATTGACAAATGTAGTTATGTAGTAAACAAAGACTTGGTGGGGAAAACCAATTTTATCTAAAATTACCAGTGCTTTCCTAAAATATGAAAACCATACATGCATGCACCACAGTTACAATAATTTCATAGTACCAGAATGTGATCAACAATGAAATCCAAGATAAGGATTCCGACCGGATATATGTATCCCAGTTTTGATTTTCATATTGAACCTTGAACCCAGTATCAAACGAAGAAATACTAAATCCATATAGCCACTGATATGTTCAGCGGATATGATATAATTTTTAAGGTTTCGTATTCTCTTATTCATTGGTCACATACCCTAACAATAAAGGTTGGCCAAATACAATCCTGATTATCAATAAACAGAAGAACGAAAATCTTCACAATTACTGTTTATTTGTACTCGGTTTACCCATAACTTGACGGTATTGCAGGCGGTAACCAAATAAGACATTTGTAAGCAAACCAATCAAATATCGATCTAACTTCTTTCTCTATTAATTTCAAATCTACATTATTAAGTCATATGTATATTCCTACTATAACAACATGTAAAAACATTTCAAATACAAGCACTTATGGTAATTTCTCATCAGTGTTTCCAAATAATATTCTGTGTAAAAAATCAAAACAAATTACCTTATATTTGCTCAAAATGTTTGATTCATTGATAATTTTCAAAGGCTCATATGAAGGTCGACTAATACAAATTATACCATAGTCACGAGCAATCGTTTCAATCTGAAAAAAGAGGATAATCTAATAGAAACTTTATTGAGTTAAATTGATCAATAGATGTATGGTTGTTCTATGAAATAAGACCAACCTTACGCATCAGGTAATGTATACTAATTATCATAGTGTTATATTGTACATTGTGACCGATGAATGCTGTGTTTCCCGTCTAGGGCATCTAGCTTATAGAATTCAATACGAGTAATTACAGTCCGTTCTTAGAATGGATGCATCCGATCATATATAAGTAAATTGTAAAAACAACAATAAACTACAAACAAATAAATATCGTGATTAGTTAGCAAACTGAATAAAATTTTTAATTAACCGGTTATTACTTCCCAACAAGAATCAAAGTATAAAGTAGTTGACCGGAGAATGTACGATGGAACGTTGGTGGAAAAGTGTTATACCTCTAGATTTAATGAGTGAAACATGATACCGCAACTGGCAAACTGAAAATGGGCTATAGTTCCAAATGTTTTAAATTATGTACATTGTATTTAAGGGTGATTCTACAGAGGAGATCGCTAGTATATACAATAGGCACAGGGTGACTAATTGAATCAAACTAGCTTATTTTTAATAACCATAAACTTACATCTTCTGCTGACCACAAATTTGGAGTTTTGAATGATTCCAGAAGATCAGCACCACAAACTAATTTCACACAAGGCTTTGATAGCAAAACGTTTGCGGTATTGTTTTTGCGACAGTAACACGATCTATCTACAGATGATAATGAAGTGAAGAGATTGCTGTTGAAATGATCATCATTAGTATCATGTACTTGGTTTTCGCTACATTTTATGTTACTAATATCAATAAGAGAGTCCAGATGAAAGCAACTCTTAAGCCAGAGGTCAGTCGCCATGCCTTCTAGTGATGAAAGTTTCGTTTGTTCGTGGTCTTCATTAATTAAACCATCAGTGGCTAGAAAATAAAAAAAATTAATAAGTGGATACACCTAAAAGAAATTACTCCTGACAGATGAAGATGTATGTATAGTTGAAAATAAGGCATTTTGTAGTTAGTGTACTACGGAAGAGATAAATAAAGCTTTATACACTAAAAAGTTGTTACAAAGATCAATTACGAAACTACGACTGAGTACTAGGAAATCGGTTTCGGTAGATGTTTTCTTCTTCTAAGAGGATATTTGTTATGAGGCGGAATATGCATAGATAACTCTAACGACAACTGTGATAGCGTATGCAACCGTTATGCTCGCTTCTAGCGCCTTTCAACTAGCTACCACAAGAAACGAATCTTATTAAGATTTATCAGATGAAACCAAAGAAGACTGATTTTACATCCGAGTTAATTTAATTCCATGACCATTAGTTACAGAGTGAACTGAGAAGTAAACGACAAAATACAATGAAATTTAGTGAATGGAATCCACGTAAATCCATTAACGTTGACTAAGCGAAAATCTCTCTAAGTCGAAATGAGAACTTATACCGAGTTTCTTCTACGTACGTGGTATATAGGGATATAGCATCCTCAGTAAACTTTTTTTCGCAGTAAAAAATGACGTTAGTAGACAAAAGGAATTTGTATTTTATGAGGAATTATACAAAAGTGATAGATGGATTATTAGAAATTTGGAGATAATCAGTGGGAATCCCTGTACACATTTTCTGTCTGTACGAACTCATCAGTAAACTGTATCAGCAACAAAACAGTTTCCAATCTGAATCCATTTACTTTGGTTTGGGCAACTGAATATTATCACCAGCAAGAATAATCAATGAACCTAAAAGTCAAGTAAGGGAATCTTAACTTGGTGAATAATTTACGTCTGTTCGAAAAACTATACTCTCTAGTGTTGAACTTAAATTGTCTAGCGAAATAGTCCTAAATATTGCTAGTGAGATTGTAGTCAGCACCATATTAAATGATCCCCACAAACTAGCTGTAAGATGATAACGCACAATACTCATTTTAAGCATTAAGCATGTAAATGATAAGTAAACGTAGATTTGTAGATACAACTAGAAAATTATACTTTTAATAAAGTGTCACAGTTCAATATTTCAATTTATAACTATTAGTTGCTGTAAAATCTAGAAGACATCTGATAAAACCTATTTAACACTTCTTCGGTCACATAGACTAGCTGAATAACTAGTCTTATCAATACGCTGAATTAAATATTTATTAAGTTTTGAGGACAATAATTAATGACTCAGAATATCCAATATACATTGGGACTTAAAGATAAATAGGAATAGTTGTAGATCAATGACTCGGGAACTGTCAGTTTAAGTTGTACAATTAAATGTTTATGAACTCTAGTAGTTTGTAGGTAGAAAGTGTTTATGGAACGGGACATTATAGGAAAAAGTGATCTTAATAAAAAATCTTCAATAAAACATTGCACTCCAGGTCTGTTTACATGAAATCACCAAAAGTTTCACACATGTATAAACGCATTTTAAGCATAGGAAACTCACGATAAAAATTGCTTGGTGCGAAGCAAGTCTTTTTTCTCGGAACTGAGTCAATTTCGGTTTCGTCATTGTTACTTAAATTTGAGTACGTATTATTCAAGACACCATAAATGTGATCTAAGACCACTCGAGTTCTCAACCAACTTGATTGTGAACACTCCCAATTGCTTACGGCCAACCAGTCGGATGCAGAAATACAGGCTAATCGTGTAAGCTCGACGCGTATAGAAGCTGGTAGGAGACCTTTCTTTTCATACAGATTGGACACAGGACTGAATATACCACCAACGACGACTGTCTGATGGTCATCATTTATTGGATGGTCATCACTATATTCTTTTTGAGTGAACTGGTTATTCTCCTCAGACAAAACATGATGAGATTCTTTTGTTGACAAATGCATATTTTCAATCTTATCTCTTGCTAGTTCTAAACAAAAAAAGAGTAATAAACAATTGAGAACATTAAAAGTCCATCTTGAAATAAATAAAATGTAAATGACAAACAAAAATATCTCGTTTCAGCAGACCTTTTGAATATTTCAATTGATATTATTAATGAGCGTAGCTAAACAGAGGGAAAAACAACAAACAAATATTTTTATTTAAAATCAAACCTGACGAAGATTTGTTTTTAGACGAATCTGCATGGGATTTTCTTGAATAAACCAACGAATTCTAATTTATTGCAACTACTCGCACCGTTTAGCTTATATTCATAACTTGGCTTTCCCAGACAATTTTAGAGCTAAGAAACAATTATATGAAAACTGTTGCGATGGTAAGAATTATATTCACATAGATAAATATATACAGGTAGTTGACATCATGCTTCGAGATGACATTTAATAGCTGGTCCGTCATATGCAATATAAAACATATGTGCAACAGATCAAATTGCCATACTCCACTGGGGCAGTGGAATAAAATTGTCAGGGGGGAATAACAGAGTAGTAGACGTAGTAACAGTATTAGTGGTGATAAAAGAGATTAGGCATCGAAGATACGATTCCAGAAAATATAGATTAGTGGAACAAAAACAATTTAAAAAGTGATTTAGCAGCTAATGACCCAAAGGAAGGCACCTGGATTACTGCGAACGATCCTGAGCCATGTCACCCAAAACCTCTAACCACTGGTTACGATAATCACGTAGACCACAACTAGGTAGTGTGCACCTGCTAACATGACCCAGTTTAAAAGTCAACATACTCATGGACTGATACCGTTTTTTGGTCTGAACATTCCCAACTTCTTTCCAGTCTACTCCTACACTATAAATTATCGCATCTCAACGTAGTAGGTGGACGACTATACATATTCTGTTCTGACCATCTTAACCGAAAAAGATTACCTCATCAATAGATTTGCATTCCTGCCTAATATTCTATCACTAACCCGGGCATTGCTTCAAAGAAACCTATAGTCGAATACTGGTAACAAACGAATATTCTCTATTCTTAATGGTCATGTTTCAAACAAATGTGGTAAAACACAGGGAACTACTGAGCAGCAAACTTGTTCTTCGGTTAGTGGACGGATATCTCATATACTTTATAAGTGATGCAAGTTGGCAAACGGCAACAGTTTTGGATTTGTGTCAAAATTCCATCAAGTATCAACCCAATAGGGCTGATCGGACTTTTGAAATAAATAAAATGGTCGACGCACTCAACTACTTGACTCCCTATCCTTAGTTCAGGGGTTGATGAAGACCCGTCTTAAAGCAACATTTTGCATTTAAATGGAGAGAACCGCATCTGAAACATGTTATTACTGTTGTTTAAGATATTCAGAAGATCCTGGATTTTTTAGCGTCTTTACCAAACGTAACTACATCTGCGTATTCTAAGTCCATAATAGAATCTCCTGGTAGATTATCAACTCCCGAAATCTCATACGATGAGTGTTATTGTTAAAAGCATGTCTATGACAGTTAACATGGGGAAAATAGAGAATTCCAACTAACGTCACTTGAAGCCACCAATTTCCATTACAGTTCTCATGAGCTCTGACTCGACCAGTATATATGCTTCTTTGGTACGCCACTTAATGACAGACAGTGTCACTCAAGTGGCTTTCTTGAGTCTTAGGGTAACCCTTCTAGGCTGAAAGGACTGAATATTAGCCTGTGCTTGATCAATAAGTTAAATAAAATGATAGCTTTGGTGACTTTGAAATGTTTTATAGAAGTCGTTTGATTAACTATCACATCGCGTATTATTTGTCAACGCTAAGTGGAGAAAGTGGAAAGGTGATCCGTTTCTCGAATGGCACCATAGTACGAAAAAAATGTATGAGACGGGGATTTATCTGTTTATCCGGATTGGTTGCTTTAAGTTCTAGTGACCATAGAAATAAGTGGCTACAGATGTCATAAGATATGGCTCAGAATGGAAATCAGTGGGAATAATGCTCCAGTTTCCATTAGACTCATCATGGTGACAAAGTGAATTCTGTTATTTGAAAAAATTACCGATTGTATTTCTTTGATCTAGATATATTTATCACTATTCTTTATTCTCACCACTTTGAACTATTTATTTGTTAGATATACGACCTTACCTCCACTACTTCTTCGAGATCTTATCGCTTTATCTTGTCCAATGCAGTTATGGTGCCATATTGTACAAGAACTCTTCATAAATAAACTCTATAAATAAGCTCTCATTGACGAAAGTAACAGATCTAATTAAGATTTAAATTAAAGACAATCTTATTCATCAAAAATTGATAAGTGGTAACGGCGAAAAATCTGCGCCCTTAATTTTGTAGATAAACATTATTTAAGGATTGCAATATATATGAAACATAGACTCAGATCATTTAGTTCGTTATAATTGACTTTCCGATACAATAGAGACGACGATTGAACCCCGTTAAAACGGGGCTACGAGATTATTTAGGTTGAGTTGTGTGTCTAATCGAAGGACGAAGAAACCAAGCTTCCAATGTAACGAAACATGAACATATCCAGACCCTTTATTACCACAATAACCAAACATTGAATGTATTGATTAAAACGAAACAGACATTATTAACTCTGAATAGTCATTTAGGTGATGTGCAGTAAAAAGTTAATGCCTCATTGTTTTCATTAACTCAATCGCTCCAAAGTCCTTATCAATAAGGCCTTTACTTACATACGTAATAAACTATTATAGAATACTTTTGCATCAATACAAGATGACTTACCCATCATTCGCATGTGCATTACAGTAATTGGATTGAAAGACCCACATGACAGCAGAAACACAGGTTTAATTCTCAGTTGTTTGTTGCACATTAGAGTTTGGTGATTAAATTCAAAAGGGTTTTTATAGTGAATCTAACAGCCAACCGAAATTATTTTGTTGACCTTAGACACAGATTTAAACACAGATTTAGATTTTACTTATTAGTTACATAAAAAGCTAAACTTGAACGATTTCCTAAACTTTTAACTGATAGAACTGCATGAAAACTAGAATATGGTTTAGTAGATAGATTTTTTAAGTTTTCTATAATTTTATACAGAATTCTACAGTTATTAAAGATGTAATTATCATACTCATTTTGCATACTTCTAAATTGTTAAACAATTGATCCAAACATTTATTTTTCTGTTTCCATGGTCTTCTTAAACCATGTGCTTGTTTTCATGATGCAATGGGTGTTTTTGTTTGTAAAATTTTAACTAAAGAATGAAATTAACTTTTAGACTTAAACCAAATAAAAAGATGTGAGGCTTAAACTTATGTTTTTAACTTGAGTTTCTGAACTAGGCCTAATATAAACCAATTTTGTATTGTTTGTTTGAATCTTCCCATTGATGTTTACGACTGCAGTCGATCAGTCCTTCATTGGCACATGTGCAAATTGTCTCCACCCAACTGACTAGTCTCAAATAAAAAGAAGCGCGCGTCCTGGGATTCCACTGCCAGCCACCATAGATCTTTGTTTATAATGCTTGTGACTGAGGTTATATCGATGCAATCCGCAATGGATGCATATATATCAATGAGACTAATTAATTGCAGTCCTAAACACCAGTAGGACGATCCAAACAATGCGAAAATTAATTATGAAGCTGATAGTACACTCTAATTAGTACTTCGGGAACTTGTGACCATTTGCATTACCATTAAGTAAAAATAAGTGCATTGAACTACTGTTTTGGATACAGTATCGAGCGCAGGACAAATTTTCATCTACCTAGACCTTACATAATTTCCTTACAACATACGTTAATAAGAAAACAGACTTGTAAATTATGCCTATTAACCAAACTTTTTGAAAAGTAACGAAACAACGGCAAATAATTTTAAACTCGGGAATAGAGTGTAATGAAATAGTGAAATTAAAGCTTGTTAAGCATTCGATCGGCAATAACTCAGTGAAATGGATGTAATATCCAAGTCAGTTTTTAATTTTCACACCCCTCTGAAATTTGAAGTTAGCACTGATAGTTGATGAAGTAGAAATGGGGATTTATGTAGGATTCACTTGGATGGACTGGACTGTATATAACAAATCCCGCGTTTCTATAATGCCAGGTTTCTCATTACATGAAGAAACTAGTCTTCGGAAAAGTTCGACAACCAGTTGTCAACTGTAAGTATTCGTTAGTCATCTGAAGTTACCCAAAGGACCTAACGGCAACAATTTTATTTATTTTTTTAAACTTAACTATTTATTCAGACAACTTAGCGTTGTTCAATCAATTTAAGTCTGCATCATACGAATTATATATGTAATATGGAGACACCTGATGATCTTAGATTTTGTACTTTCCATTTCCCAGATAAGTTTTCCACCGGCAAGCTTAATCGTTCAACGCTGTAATATCTCGGTGTTCCACAGTAAGCTAATGGGACCATATAAGTGTTGATTCCACGCGAATGCATCACTGCTGTCTCAGGTTGTCAAGTTCATGCATTAAAGTTCACATAATTCGCTTCTTCATCCAGTTAAACATTGTGTATAAAACGTTGCGCTATTTAATTCAAAACAAAATTGTCAGGACAATGTTTCAAAATATAAGGAACAAATTTAGGCGTCTTGATGGGGCATATCAAGATGCTTTCACACAAACCAACACATTTCGCAACACAGAACCTTCTTTTTAAGGATAATGATGTGCCAGGAATACAAATGTAGACTTATTACTTCTTTTCCAGTCTTTTATATTAAATTCACCGTAGTTTTGTTTTATCAACATTTATTACAGACAATCCATACTACATAACCAGTGTTTAAACTCTCTAACTAACTTATTGGCCGGTAGTCCCCAAACAGATTTCGTCTACTTTCTTAAATTTACCCAAGCTCCCAATTTTCTGAAAATCCCGAAGTCAAATGACCTTCGCCAATGTTTGGGGAATTGACCCATGTCTGGGAAAATTTTGGGGTTTTAGTGCCATTTCCCCAAAGTTTACTATAGCGGCTTCCCCAAAATTGGGAGCTTGGTTTAGGGGAGATCTCAGGCAAAAACCCAAAATTTCCCCAAACTTGAGAGTTTGGGGTGCTACACAGAAAGACAAAAAGGGAAAATTCGCATTATCTCTTCTTCTCAGACGGACAAGCAGACATTCGGGCGCGTTTACCCATTATTTTCCAACGCATTTTCCCCTTCATTCGCCTTTATTAGTTGCTTGGGGTCGATCCCGAAAAGGTAGCAGTGATCCTTGTGAAGGCGAGACCTTCGAAAGAAACTACAAATATTCTTAAAAAATTGCGTAGTCAGTGAATATGTCTCTTGGTCACTTTATAACCACACTTACTACGTTGAAACAACTGCAGTTAATTCCAAGTAACCTATATATTTATAAATTCCGCTGTCCGTGAATTACACATTTATCAGGCGCAATTTAAATATCGGTAAAAGAATGAAATAATTCTCAGTTTAAAGAATCTATGATTCCTTGAGGCAACTGACCATTTTTGCCTTCAGACATATTACAATTTCCTCTGAGGACTAATAAAACAATGAATATATGATGTGACGAACTACCTAATTTAAATTTTTGTGGTGAGCCTTGAAGCAATCTGGTGTAACAAGGGACAAACTGTGAGCCACTTCCTTTATGTCACGTTACACATGTGTTTTTTTTACATATCGTGATATTTTGTGTTCTCTGATTTTTAACTCATACATAGATATGTAGATCACCAACGTAGATTGTCTGTGTCGACTGATTGAGGGCCTACTCTAGTTAAATGGGAATAGTGCAACAAATAAGCTGACATGGAAGTCAAACCCCACGGTTAGTACTTTACGTGGATTACCTTCACGACGCATCCCGGTTCTATTATATTTCATACTGCTTATATCACGAAAACTGATAAGACAATCGATGAAGGATTTGCAACTGAAATATGTAATGTATGGTTGTCACATTTTGCCAAAGAACTCTGTAATTTTGCATCAAACAATAAACTGGTTTTCCTGTCTTCAGTTCTCGTTCACCACGTTGTGGTTAATTTTATGACCGTATCACACAAACTATGAAATTACAAAAATATATTGGTGAGTGTAGATTTGAGGTACAGAAAGCTGACACCATTGCATAGGCCGGTCGATGGAGTATATCTAATTAATGCACGCTCGTTGTCCATGATTTCGATGAATATTTGCGGGCTTCACAGTATTCAGTGACACGACAGGCAGTGACATTTCACTGGGCATACATATTCTATTTATTTCATTTTCAACAGTACCCAAATGCTTGAACATTAAGACTCTTACACCCCCACCTTCTTACTCATACCATCCCAGCCCGAAAACACCCGAGTTTGGCTCTGCTCCTTAGAAGCTGAAATACAATGACCGACTTTCAACCTCAGGTCAAAACATGGTAGATTTAGGAGTTATGTGGCGTTCAAATAGCCCGTGTGAGTCCTTAAAATGGACAGAACGATAAATAATATCCTACTGGTGATCATTAGGGAGTAAATACGAAAAGGCCACCTGACTAAAATTTGAAAAGCATGACAGTTTTTCCCAAAAATAGGCCTGGTTAATGAGCATAACTATATTTCTGTAACTACGAGAGGCATTACGAAAACGGCTTTCTTCATTACTTTCGGAATATACGAAGTTTTGTATGTCCATTTCGTTTTGGAAACTTCAGCACAAACTGCTGATGCATTTGTAGCTGGAAATAAATCCCCAAAATAAATAGCTCTGTAGGTTTTCGACATTGGATGCTAATCACATTAGTTTTAATTGACTCACCTAGCTGAAGGCACTCGGGCGTGCATCCGCACCAGGTCACGAATGGGAACGCCCTGCTCAACAACCCCTGCAATCGCTAGCCAGGTAAGATCAGACGATCCTCGATATATTGATAGCCTATCAAATATATCTTCGAACCTCCTCGCTACTGTCTTTTGATCCCACTTGGTGGGTACGATTCATATTAGAAGACGTTACTGGTTGAAGCGTTGTCAAACTCCGAATACCTGTGGCATCCTCACATTTATTGGTGACATATTTTGGGGTCTCAAGCTTTGTACACATGAGTGTTAATGACTACTTGATCTCCATTCTGAACAGAAAATCTCATTTTCAGCAACAAGGCCTTATTTTCGAACATGATTTAAACCGTCAGCGTAAATGATTTATGTCGAACGATTGGAGGCTTACTCGAGTTAGACAGGAACGGTGTGACGAAACAGATTACTTCGAAGTCACGCCTCCCTGTCAGCACCTAATGCGGATTACCCCTTCGACGTATCAAAGTACTGTGGCTGCTATGAAGACCGTATAACACAGAGGACGTTATTACTGAAATATATTAGCTAAGGTAGATGCAACCGAGAGTAAGACCGCCGCTGCATGGGCCAGTCGCCGGTATCTTTTCCGTGCTATTTACTCGCTTACACAAGTGCCAGCGTAATTCAACGTACACCTAAATCGTCGATTTTTCGTACAATAGCGCTTAGAAATGATGAATATTTTAAGATGGATAAGATTAATCAAACCTTCCGTTGTAAATTGCTTATTGTGATGCAGATTATGGATCCTTAGTATCAGAAAAGACGCCCGGACGCTGCCGTACACAGCGATCAGCGGTTTGTTTGTCAATAACATGGTCGTTGATTTTATACTTTGTGCTGTTAATGTCTTTCTATGATCACTGAACTACTAGGGGAGAATGAGCTGTAGAGGTATGTGGACACCAAAAATAAATGGTTCTGTAGGTTTTAGACATTGATGCAGGCCTCATTGGTTTATTATACATAATCTAGCCGAAAGCGCTTGGCAGGTATTATCATTTGCTGCACAATAGTTTCAATATCTAATCTAGTTACAACGCATAATTCCAAACACATCAATCTTTATATATATATATATATATATATATATATATATATATATATATATATATATTGAGATGGTGGAGAAGATTTGTAGCTCAGGTGGATGATTTTGGTGGAGTTTTGTTCTCTGAGCTGGATGGTTTGGTCGTGGACCTTTCATCGTTCTTCTGAACGACGTCATCAGCACAAACTTCAGATAGAAGTGAAGTGTTTGAATTTCTCCATGTGTCTCGAAGCTTGTTCTGTGCACCTCGACGTTGATTGGTTCTTATTGACCTTAAATTTGTTGTTGTTTACTTCTTTTAGTTGTGTCTCCCATTGTTTTGATTTTTGTTCTTATGTTTGTACATAACTTTTCTGAGCAAAACTGCTCTCACCGGCGCGTTGTAGATCCGGCCTTTTACAGCCAGACTGACATCACGAAGGCGTCAAAGATGGCCCGGATTGACATAAACTGCTCTGGCTTTCACTATACGTGCATTCATTTAATCACTCACACCCCCACCAGCACTTATGCAGCTATCCAGATACATGAACTTCTCAACTACGTCTATCTGCTCACCATCCAGGGTGAGTATAGGATTGGAATCCTGCCAGTCTTGTAGAAGTACTTTGCACTTGGAAGGTGCAAAGCACATACCATACCGACGAACACTGATTGCCAACTGATTAAGTGCGGATTGCATGCCTTCGGCATTATCTCACAGTAAGACAATATCGTCCGCATACTCAAGGTCGAGAAGTCTTTCTCCAGGCAACAGATCCACACCACCATTACTTACATCCATCAGAGCTGTTTCCAGAATGTCATCGATGGCAAAGTTGAAGAGGAATGGTGAGATTGGGCAACCCTGTCTAACCCCACTGCACGAATAGAACAATGGAGAGAGGTGGTTGTATGCCCTCACTCCGCCTGAGGTGTTTGTATATAGGACCTTTAGGATGTTAATAAACTTCTCAGGTACGCCCTTCTTCAATAGACAATCCCAGAGAACAGCCCTGTCCAACGAATCGAAGACAGCCCTGATGTCAAGAAACACTACGATTGTTGGCCTTTGAAAAGTATGGCGGTGTTCTAACATTTGGCGGAGGGTGAAGATATGATCAATACATCCTCGACCAGAACGAAAACCAGCCTGCTCCTCGCGAGTTTATCTTTCTTGGGTTTTGAACAACCTACGAAGTATGACGGAAACCAAAGGCCAGTTGAACTGCCCTTCAAAAAATTCTGCTCACCGTCCAAGACGTCGATGGATGTTAGGGATCGACATCCCATCATCCTCGCAGATTGTTTCACTCACACCAGACTTCTTGCTGCCAGTGTCTCGGATGAGCTGGAAGAGCTTTCGGTAGTTACCAGATGCAGCTGCTGCTTCCAGCTCATTAGCACGCCTCGACCACCAGGCTTCTCGGTCCTTACGCAAGCTTTGCCCAATTTCAGTACGTAACATCCATCGTTTATGGTCAAACTCACGGTCACCCGGAGTAGACCGACGGGCTTCAATGAGTTGTAAGGAACCTGCAGAAACCCAGTGCTTATAAGCGGGACGTTTCGCGAACCCACAACTGACTGTACCCGCCATTTTCATGGCGTCATGCAATTGCAACCAATGCTCATCTATACTTTTCGGTGGAGTGGTAGCTAGCCTAGAGGCTAGCTCGGTTCGATACTTACTTGCAACAGGAGTTGCAACCAGCTTGCTAATATCAATCCGTTGATGGTGGTCACTTCGTTGTCCACTGAAAAGTAAGGTAAGATTGGCGCAGACCAAGGCATGGTCAGAGTCCAGATAGGTACTCCAAAAGGAGCGGCAGTCTTGTACACAACCACGCCAGCGGTAGCTGATCGCGATGTGATCAATCTGAGTCCAGGCTTGAGATGCAGAGGGAGGACGCCAGGTGGCACATCGGCGATGACTGTGCCGAAAGTTAGTGCTAACCAGAAACAGGTTGTGGTCTGTGCAAAGTTGCAGTAGACGGTCCCCGTTATCTGACCTGCGACCAACGAGTCCACATCGGCCACCTAAACGACTCTCTTCTGTGCCTAGACCCCCGACCTGAGCATTCAAGTCTCCGGCTAGTACCACAATATCTGTCGAACGCACTTTCTGGAGAAGAAC